GACTCGTAGCGGTTAATTAAAGATTGTTTTACTTACACCGTAGGTGGTCGCGGTGCAAGCAGGAAAACTTTCTTGAGTTGCAGTTACAGACAAACACAGGTCGAGTTTGCTAGGCTCCACTGAAGACACACGAGCGGAGTTTGCTAGGCTCCGCAACAACAAACACAACAGAGCTCTGGATACCCTTGACGAGCGCGCAAAAAACCGTAGATACATCTTAAGAATTTAACAAACGAGACGGGAAGAGGTTGGTGGTTGATCAGGCCGCCGAACTCCTCTGAGACGCCCACAAAGTTTCTGTTACTCTGCCGCGTGCTCAGAGTCCCCACGAGATGGTTGTGGAGTCCTCTACAACTTGGGCGGAAACTGCTCAAACTTCTTATACGACTAGCAAGCCAATCGCTAGCCGCCACGTGGGAATAATTTAGAAACAGCCAATAGTGGGAAACAAAGTTACATACGGGTGGCGGGAACTCCTTTGCACCGGGGTTTTCTCTCTGCAGCTGAGAATTGCACCGTGCAAAGAAAGCTCCATGTGGCGGGAAATAATTCTGCAGTGCCGAAGCGCACACACAATCATTGGGTCATGACAACTGTAAACCTGGTTTAACTGTCCCTTTTCTCTGCTTCACTACATTTGTTCTACTACCCAAGCCTATTGGATATATGACTGCGATTCCCAGCACCCACCTGAGTCCAGTTATTGAACAGCTACCTATATGGCTTCCTAGCCCCACAAGCTACCAGTCATTACTCAGAGTAGACTTCATGCTGTTTTGCCTTCTATTGATGAGCTGACTCCCTCTGTATTTTTTCCTCATTTGTTATTAATAGATCTTTTTAGTGAATCTGACTAGGGGATAGATTTGGGTGTATGTTCTGATTGCTTTTTGGCATGTCAGTGATCTAAACAGATGTAAAATAGCTTTAATCAGGCATTTACATTGCAGTGTGTAAGAGAGGTAAAATCCAGCAAAGCTGTGGTGTTCCCCTGAATCTGGCCCATGACTTACTTGTCCATTGTTCTGCTCTCAGTGTTTTTGACACAGCTATTAATGTACTGACTCTTTTTTGGCTTATGAAAGAGTTTGAAAAAACCCTGAGCATTATTCTCCACCCTGGCTTATGAGTTTTTGCCAGGGTAATGCCACTGATTTCAGTAGAATTCTACTGACTTAAAGTAAAAGTTAAAGAATGGTGCCCAAAGTATACAGAAGCCATTCTGTTTCTCTCAAACTCTGTTCTCCTTGCCTGTCACATTAGACATATTAGCATAAAAACAAGATCTTTGCTGAAGAATTTTCTCCAGCGGATCCTCTCACAAAGAAATAATTCCCCCTTGTGATTGAGTATTGTGGAAAATATAATATTACAGAGGATTAGGACTCCACATCGGGAAAGACCGTAAGAGTTGGTAATCGTATAGCCAGCCGAGATGTATACTGTTTTCCTGTATTTGTCACGCAAGCAGAAAAGGAGTAGAGAACTCAGAAAAGCTACACTTGAATATTTCTTTGAAATTATCAAAACAGGTCTTCGAAGCTTTTCTACGGAGTGACAGCAAAATCATTTAAATATCAATGTCAAAGTGGTAGTAACTGGTATAATACCTCATCAGTGGTGGTGATAGGTGTGGGTCCCCTGCTTCCCATTTTCTGTCCTTCTAGAAATCACTGGGACTACCAATTCTTTTCTTATCATAAGGCAACTTCAAAAATTGTTGCTTTTTTTTATACCCCCAAATGAACTTTGCTTCCCTTCACCTCAAATGTGGTATCATTCTAGCCCTTTAACTTTTAATTGACTAATCTACAAAGAGGGGCAGTACTCAGTCATACACCAGGGACAGAGGGCAGGTTTAAAGATATAAACAGCTATATGAGCAAATGACCTGAGTCAGGACCAAGAGAGGGATTAGGCTCACAGAGGTGGAGATGTATCTTGGGAGCTGGGTAAACAGAAGAGGTCTATGACAGCTGAAAAGAGAACAGGTTAGCAGTGGTGAAAATATAAAATTTCCCTTGAACCTGGCCAGAGAATTCCCTCATAACTTACCTGGAAAAGTAGCCCAAGTGTCCCTCCAGCTCGTGCAAACTCCCCACAGGCTGAAGGCACCTAAGTCTTACGTATCCACAAAAATCTCTTGAGAGCAGCCACAACCCTTAACAATAATTGGACCCATTCGTTTTTACAAATGAATACCCGCAAGCTTCAGATTTCTCAGCATTTTAAACCTTTGCCTTCCTGTCCTGGAATACAAGGGCTCATCCACCCCGCTTACCCTAATGTAAGGATAGCAAGAAAATGTGATTGTGTTAATTCCATCCACTATGCAGAAGTAGTCTTGGTTAAAACTAGAGAAGGCTGAGGCTGCCCTTCTTTGCTCTGCTTTGATTGACCTAACAAACACATTGGGCATCTATACACATGGAGGGGGGGTACTTTAATTAGAGCCCACGGCATCACGTGTGCCCACAGCATCACATGTACTTAGCATCCCGTGCTTCAAAATGGTGGCAGGGGCACTTTAACTAAAGGCCATTCAACAAACTGTAGTTAAAGTGCCCCGCCACCATTTTGAAACACAGGGACGCTGAATACACATGATGTGGAGACTGCTGGAGTGTGCTAATTAGCAGATTCAGTTCATTGCAGCAGACTCCGTCAACTCTGCTCCAACCCATGCTAATTAGCATGGGTCAGAGCAGAGGTCCATCATGTGTATAGGTGCCCATTAAGCCCATCTGTGCAGAGAAGTGTAGTTCAGGCAATGACCTCTGCAGAGGCAATCTGGGACTGTTAGCCTACAATGGCCCCTCTGCACAGTGGAGGAAAAAGAAAAAGCTTCAAAGGGGAGAGCAAGATAAATGAAGCTTATCCAGAATCAAGCCTATGAGGAGTCTAGAGCACTGGCTTGGAGCATAAGGTAATAAAAGTGACGTGTGACAAATCAAGGATATTTTGGTATCTCTCCAAGATTATCATAGGACAACAAATGTATTGGCCTGGAATTTAGGCAGTCATTCAATTTAGGGACAATTGGAAACCTAAAACCACCCCTCTAGACCCCTTTTTTTTAGATTATATAAAGCCCTTTTTTCCTGGCCTGATAGATTACGTTATTACAGGCCATAAGATTGCAGTCCGTTTCAGGAAACTTTTATTGGTTGTTAAACTATAGCATCAAGTTTCCCGTAGGCAGATATATCTCAAGCAGGGCTTATGGAGTCAGATGGAAAGTGAAAGAGTTTTAAAATGTGTCACTTATGCTATTCCTCAATGCTTTCTAAGATTTTTTTCTCAGACAAAACTTTTAGAAATTAAACAACATCAAATGAAGAGTTTGTTCCTATTCATTTGAGTCAGTCTGTATCAGCCGTAGTATTTGCAGTTATTCCATAATCATTCTTATAGCAGTCCATCATGTACCTTGTTTTATTAAATTTATTTTAGAAAAGTCTTGGAATGTTGTTTCCTGCTGGATGCTTTGACATTTTTTAAAATAACCCGTTTCAAGGTTACAGTGTGAAATTTTTCAAAAGCATGAAAGTATTGCAGGTACCTTAGTCACAGTAGCCAGGTGACCAGGCATTAGCACATGGCACTTATAGGGGGCACAAGAATGGCAGGTACTACTGCTGCACCCAGGGTACAAGGCGGGGTTGTTATGCCTCCGCATAATCCTAAATGACCACATCATTTTTAAAAAATAGGAATACTGATTTTGAAAGAGACTTAACTGTGTAGACTTAGCCAAGTCACTTGTGACAATAGGATTCAGGTGTCTTGGTTCCCTGCAGTAGTATTTCATATACTTGTAGACAAAATTGCTGGTTTCAAAATGTTGTTAAAACAAGTGAAGACATAAAAATGCCCATTTAAATGGGAACCATTGAAGAATCACTGTTAATAGAAAAAAATTTCTTTCTTGCAGTGCGGCATTGCTGATGGAGAAGGGTTTTTAAGTGTGTGGCAAGTAAACCAAACTGCATCGAATCCTAAGCCCTATCTGGTAAGTAATATAACATTATTTTTTCTTTCTAGAGAGGAATTTTTCTGAATCCAAATTCGTTACTTACTATAGGTTTTAGAATCTTTTGTTTAATATTCAAGCTTGGAATATATTTATTTAACTTTCCTTTTTCATCTCTTTTCTTATTTTGTTGTTGGTAACAGATGTATTGTATAGATGATAAAACTGCACCTCATTGTGTTGTTTTTTTTATAGACCTGGCAGTGCCACAGTAAAACCACCAGTGACTTTGCATTCATAACATCTTCAAGTCTAGTAGCTACATCTGGACAGTCCAATGATAACAGGTATATTTAAAGAGGAAAGAGAGAGAAACAGATAGGATTTTCTAAGCTAGGAAAGGAGAAACAATTTCAGTTTTAGAGCTACCCATCATAACGGGTCTCTGCTATTTGGATCTTGTGCCTGTGGTTGATCATTAGCCAAAATTTTAAAGTTCGGTATTGTGCGCTACTGCATTTCCTTATAATCTTGCTGTCTGCTTGCATGTCACACCTTCAGTTATTTTCTTTCAGCAGGTTGGCACCCATTAGCCTGTTGGCTTCTCAAACTCCTTACAACTAAGTGTTAAATTATTTCTTTTTTCCCCTTTATTTGATTGTCCAGGGTTAGCATTTTTGTATGTGTATGTACACAAGCGCACATGTGATATAATATGTGTATTTGTAATATATTGAAGATGTAACTGCCTGGAGCATTGAGGTCTTACTGCCTAAGCACCTCTGCTTTTTATTGCTTTTTTATGTCTGATAATTTGTACATAATTCAGCAGTCTCAGTCTCTAGCTTTGGATTAATAACAGCTTCTCCCAACTGCAGCCAGTTCTAATGGGTGCAGTTAGGAACCCAGGGCTGAAAGGGGCTTCCTGGGCCATTGAGTGATGTCCTCTGCATTTGTGCACTTAACCAAGGATTCTCCAAATATCACCATTTCAAACCCTCACACAGCTGCAAGAGTCAAAAACCAGAAATGCCCAGAACACCCTACAGCAGTGGCCAACACCATGTCAAGAGCAATGAGCTAAAAGAACCCAGCTCTGTCTGAGGCAGGTCAGCCACGTTTCCCTATCAGGTGCCAGATCCAGTCTGCCCATGAGCTGTAGGTTGCCAGTCCTTGCCCTACAATGTGCCATAGGTAAAAACAGGTAGACAAGCACTACAATGACAGAGAAATAATTGGTTAATATAACATAAGCTCAAAGGATCCTAGGGATAGGATAGTGACCCACAGAGGAAGGTAAAACCCACCAGTCTGCACCACTCAGACTTTAGGGACGGACATCTTCCCTCCTGACCCCAGATTTAGCAATTAGCATGAACCGGAACAGAAAAGCAAGGCCCACTTTCTAGAAACTTATGAGCTTTTTGAACATCGGCAGAAACATCAACTAAGCCTACCTCAGTCAAAGCTCCCTCTCTTAACTCATGGAGTTTAGTCTTAAAGCAGTTCAAGTTCTTCTCCCACACTACTTCATTTCCAAAATTTCACTTTTCTGATAGTCTGTAGCAGGGGTGCTCAACCTCCAGCCCTTGGAGCCTCAGCATCTGGCCCACATGGCTCCCCATGGGTCAGGAAATTTGGCAGCACAGCAGGTAACACTGCCAAACCACTCCCTGCCCCTGCTGCCAAAGTGCCAAGACCCACATGATGGGTCAGAGCAGGCCACAGCCCCTTCCCCCACACAGCAGATTGGAGCCAGTTCGCACCCCTTTCCTATGCATGGCCCAGTTGGGGCTGAGCTATACCCCCTTTTCTGCAGGGCCAGACCATGGCCCCTCCCTGTGTGGCTGGGTAGGGGGCTGGACCACGGTCCCTTCCTCCCACAGGGCTGGGCCACGTCATCTCCCCCTGTGCAGCTGGAGGGGTGCAGACCTTTTAATGAATCCATGTCCCCTTCCCAGAGCTAACCCTAGGGGGGTGCGGGGCCCCTTTAACACTGCGCAGGACCATGGGACCCCTGCAAAGGGTAAGGATGGCAGTGCCATAGCAATGAAATTTGGCACCCAGAGCCAAGCAGATCCTGTGTTCCCCTGACAAGCCGCTCTTGGGGGGGGCGCGGCGCGGGGCTGAGCAGCCAACTCCAGGCAGGCCCTGCAGGATGGGCCATGGCCTCTCCTCCCGGATTCACGGGCCCCCCAAAGCATGGGGTCCATGGCGGTTGCCCTGATTCTCCCTACCCAAGGGATGGCTCTTCCCTTTCCCACTACAGGGCTGGGTTGGGGCCAGACCACGCCCCCTCCTCATGTGGTGGATCAGGGCTGGGTCATGTCCCCCACCCCACACAGGACTGGGGTTGTCTCCCATCCCATGCCCTGCCATGCATGCCCCAGGTGCCAGATTGGGACCATTGCCTGGATCCAGCCCACAGACAAAGCAGGCAATGACCATGCAGCCTGCCAGATGAAAAGGTTGAGCACCACTTGTCTATATTTATTCATAGCCAACTTTTAGCCATTGGAAATTGTGCTGCTATTAATTTTCAGCCTAAAAACTTTCCTCTCCCCCTACTGTTCACCCCATAACTATTTTTTGTCAAGAGTAATCGTACCCCCTTGCAGTCTTCACTTTGTTGAGCTAAACAAGTTTGTACAGCTTTGGTGAGGAGCATATTTAGTAAATACAGGTTCAATCCAAATTGTCTCCGCAGGCTGAGATTCTGAGACGAGTGCCTTGTATATTGTCCATTTTCCCCAATACTTCTCTAGGATTGGCACTAAATCTTCAAGGGAGGTAATCAAACATAGCCCCCACTGGGGACCACGGGGAAGATTTTCAAGGGCACATATGTCTTAGCCCCAAATCGTGGGAGTTTAGCATTTTGCTCTCACTTGTGCCTTTGCAAGTTGCCCCCATGACTGCATCAACTCCATGGTTCCTGCTCAGCTTTGCTTTGCAAGCCTCTGACAACTTTAGCAAATTCTGTTCAGCTTTCAACCCCTCCCCCTCTCAATTGTTTAGCAGAGGACCATTAATGATTTTTGTTTTTCCACCAGAAATGTGTGCTTATGGGACACTTTGGTATCATCTGGTAACAATCTCATACACGGTAAGTACTGCAGTGAAATGTGACTTTTTAAGAAATGTAAGAACCAAGGTAGGATTTTTGTGTGGGTGTTGGGGGTGGGAAGAAGATCTGTAGAGAGATGCTAGACTCGCCTGACTGCAGTTTTAATATTTTTGGTAATACACTACACGTACGCTGCAGGGATACGTGCTAAAATTACCAACATTATTAAAAACATATTAATGCGCTCTAAGACCCATTGGCTCTGCAGCTCTAAGAAAAGCAAAAAAAAGTTTGTGATTAATGTCAGCGGCATGACTCAGTATACTTACCAGATCGATGGAGCTAGAAAATGTCAAGTCACCTTTCCTAGCTGAAATGTACTTTAAAATGGAAAGCTACTTACAGCCATGCTCATAATGTTTCTTCTCGCTCAGCCTTCACTTGTCATGATCATGGTGCCACAGTACTTCAGTATGCACCAAAACAGCAACTACTGATTTCTGGAGGTAGGAAGGGATATATCTGCATTTTTGACATCAGACAGAGACAAATCCTTCATACGTTCCAAGCCCATGAGTCAGCTGTTAAAGCCCTTGCGCTGGACCCTTCTGAAGAATACTTTGCTACAGGCTCAGCGGAAGGTAACATGAAGGTAAGGTTATCAGCATTGGAATCTGAGCTTTTTTCACTCCTTAATGGTACATTTTAATTATCCAGTAGAACAATGTACGTACTTGATACAAACAATACTGTGTTGACAAGCAAATATGAATAGGTAGATAACATAGAAAACAAACTTGGCTATATTATTTTTTTGTATGTGAGATGTTTTCCCCAAATTTACAATGTAAATTTAAAAATAAAATTCATTTTCTTTCTAACTTTCGTCTTTTTTCTAGTAAAAAGCCACTCTCAGATGCCTTTTGAATTAATGTCTGCATTTGTATATGGATAAAGCACAACACATTAGGTTGTATTTACTATCTTATTATCCTTTATAAACATTCTGAGTAGAGGTGCACTGATGCATCAGATCGGTACTGATATGAAGACAATTGTCTATATCGGATATCAGCCCTACGGGTCTGATAATTTGGCTGATAAATGCCCATGCTGTGCACAGCTACAGATGCAGCACAGCATGGAGCAGAGCCGACAGCATGGAGAGCTGCCTCCAGCTGGTAAGTCGGAAGCTGGGGGCAGATCAACGACCCCTGCAGTGAGGGAGGGGGCAAGGGTAGGGGCAGGCGCTGCCCTGCCAGTGCAGGGTGGGGGATGCAGAATAGTGGCGCAGCTTGTGGGGTTGAGGAGGCTTCCACCGCTGCTTGCAAGCGGGGGGGCATGCCCCCACATGTGTGTGGCATGGGGAGGGCGGCACCCCTGGGCTGGAGCCAGAGCTGGCACTGAATGGGGCTTTTCTTGCCAGGGGCTGGGCTCAGAGTTGACTCTAGCAGCACTGGGAGGAGGCTGCAGCCACCCCAGATTTCACCACAGCTCCGCTGTCAGCCATGTGCCACCACCTGGCCAGCGCCGGCTCCTGCTCCACCCCGCAGCTGCTGCCCACCCCACGCCGCACAGATCTGGGGGCATGTGCCTCTCCCCTCCCCCCCAGATGCAAGCAGTGACAGGAGCTGCCTCTACCCCATGAGTCGCACCTCTGTCCCGCCCCTCAGCTGGGCAGCGGCTGCCCCTGCCCTCACTGCAGGGGGCACTGATCTGCCACCCCATGCCCCTGCCTTCCCCCCCTCTCCCTTTTCATCACACTGGACCTACCAGCTGATAGCAGCTGTATCAGATATCAGATTGGTATCGGCCGATATGCCTCCTTAAACATCAGCTATTGGTATCAGCCTTCAAAATGTTTATTGGTGCACCCCTAATTCTGAGCTTTTTTTGCCCCCATGTATTTCTTTTTCACTGCAACAGTGCTTTTTCAAATGAACACACAGCTCATTGTACTGTATAGTAGCCACAGTAACATCAAATTCCCAGTAAGAATACTTGTTACTGGAATTATAGAAGCAGCTAATCATGGTCCCGGATGCAAGAGGAAAGGAAACAGAGAGAATGAGAGCAAGTTTTTTGCTGCTTAGCTGAGCTGTATGATATCCTGGCCTTCAGGCCTGATCCTGAATTCATCAGGATTTTCAGGCTCTCCACACTTTGGGGAATTGGTTTGAAGTCAGAAACTTGTATTATACATGTTAATTAGGCACCAGGTCCTCTGTTGCTGTTCTGGACTCCCCTGGCAAAGGAAAAAGTCTCATCTGGTATAAAGTAAGACTGAAGATGAAAGCCAGCTGCTGTACAGTAAAGCAGACCCTAAATTGCTGTAATTTGTGCCAGTGCAAGAGCATTTAGAGCAGAGGTTCCCACACTGGTACACATACCCCTGGGGGGAATGCAAAACATGTGGCAGTTACACGGGAGAAACTGTAATGACAGATTTAATTTTCACTATAATAATTGGCATTTAAGGGGTTAACATATGAACCATGCTGGTAGAGGAATGCGGGAAGCTGGTAAATCAGAAGCAGGTACACAATAAGAAAGTTTGGGAACTTCTGATCTAGAGAATCCTGGAACTGCAGTTGCCTCTGGTAGCAAACACCAAACCAAAATGTAATGGGCTTATTTGAATGTTTTATTCCCTTTCCATTTTATATCTTATTCTTTTAATACAGGTATGGAGACTAACAGGCTATAGGCTAATTCATTCATTTAAAAACGAACATGCCAAACAGTCCATCTTCAGAAATATCGGTGCTGGAGTCATGCAGATCGAAACAGTGCAAGGCAATCGCATCTTCTCCTGTGGAGCGGATGGCACATTGAAAATGAGGGTTCTACCTAATGCTTTCAACATCCCCATAGGCATTTTTGACCTCCTGTAGATTTATGCGAGCTACTCCTATTTTTATATAAAGTTCTGTCAAATAGCTGAATGTGCATTAAGGAAATGCACACAACTAGCTATTTGTTCATTGAGGAATGAAATTACCGTATGTTACTTGCAAAGCAATTATTGCAGCATTGAATACTATGTGAAACACAGACAATGACTTGTAAAACAGGTATATTATTTTGAGCATTGTCTACATGGATCAATGGGATGGAAATGCATGTACTGTATTGTACAAACAAAAAATAAAACCCATCGTGGTCATAAGTGGGTTATTGCTCAGTAACCTACAGCAGGACTCATTTAGCAAATGTACTGTAAAGATGCTAAAAGTTGTCAGTCAGGTACAAGCACAGTGGCTCAAAGTCAGTAAATAGTTTTTAATGTGATTCAGGTTTTATTTTTCTTCCAGTTCTTGCCACTAATTGAAGCATGTCTACAACTTCTCATTCTAAACATAGTTTGGTTTTAATGAAGTATAATCTGAGTATAGATGACTGGAAGGAAAGTGTAATGGATGCAAAAGCTGTGGAACAGTGTGCAATGAACAATGTACTATGAGACATGTATTATTTCATGTTGATGTTTTCCCAGTAAGTATTAATATGCAGTTGACACTGTAACTTGCACATAAACACATTTTTAAATTTAAGGTTTTTTATTTTGCACATTGCTTTTTCTTTCTTCTGACAGCTGTGTTTTATATTTTGAGGCCTGCCTTTACATTAGCAATGCGATGTGAACATTAAATGTTTGTAGTGAAGAGAAACACATTTGTAGTTGCTTTTAGTTTTGAAATTCTTGTCTGTTCAGAAAACATTTTTAAAAGACTTCTTTAAATGAAGCTATATAAGAGAAAACCAATAGAACATCCAGTGCCACAGTTCAGATGAATGTTAGGCTTCATGTGGCCAGCTAGTAAATAGTTGATAAAAACTGGTAATCAAAATTATTACCACAATGTATTGTATAAACTATGCAGAGTTCAATATTGTTTGCTTGTAATATACTAGCCACTGTTGTCATACTTAGATGTATTTTTCCCTGTTGTAAACAAAAACCGTGCTCTTAAGATACTAGAACAGATGTCTGTGTATTTAAATGTTACATCGTCTTACTATTTCAATGAGAAGTCTGGTGTCTGTGCTGTATTGTAAAATATAATGGGATAAAAAGCACCTTTCTCCAGAGGTGATTTTAATTGCAGGATGTGCAGTATGTATATGAAGGAAAAGTAAACGTCATTTGTTAGTTTTACCTTTGTAAGTTAAATAAATTTCTTTTATTTCATGGAATAGGTTAGTTTCTGTGTTCTCCCTTGTCTTGCAGTTAAACAGACTTGTTGAGCCTTCCATGGGTCAAGTAAAATGTGTACCTGGTCAAGCACTGGTAAAAGGGAGGCTTGCTAGTTCAGTTACTTTTGTTTCTCAAAGCTCTGGAAAAGTGCAAAGTTAACAGAACTGAAATTTGGTTCTGTAGTGCGCATATCCTATGCTATTCCAGCAACATGGTTCCTGGCACTAGGACGGTGTTCAGAGTTCATTGTCCTGCTTGGTCAGTACTTGGTCTCTCTGCTGAAGCTACCCATAAAAGCATTGTCATTGATGAAAACAGGAGACACATTCCTTTGATATGCATCAGAAATCAAATGTTGCCATTATTGCCTTGCATTAAACTTGTCCTACAGGTGAGAAGTAAATTCCTACCTCTAATTTTCATACCCCACAAAAATCCATGGGTCCATTTTTTTAAAGGCTCTATCATGTGAAATTTAGAGTTTTCATGAAGTCACAATGAGCAACACAAAAAGAAGTCTCTGTTATTTCTAGTGGAAGCTAAATTAAGCAGATTCAGTATATCTGATTTTTTAAAAATATAAAAAAAACTTAAAATGGAAAAATCTGGTATAAATCAAAGCGAGTTGCGGGGGTGGGGAGGGAAAAGGAGGGTGTGTGTGTGTGTGTGTGCACACGTGCGTGCATGCACACTTAAGCAATTATAACAGTAGCTTAACACTCTTTGTCTGGATAGAGAGATTCATTGTGCTTAGGTGAAGAGAACTTTCAGCTAAAACTCATAGAAGCAAAGGAACTCAAGAGTTCACAAGTATTAATAAAAAATCATAAATTGTACAATACAGGTACCATCCTTCATCAAGAAAGAATTAAATGTGCTTTAAAATATAGAGATCACTCCCACCATTTGGAATGCAGCCATTTCTGCAGTTAAGAGGAGGTGAGCGGTGGCAATACTAATGTTCTACAATGAGAAAGGAAGAGGTTATTCATGTGATACATTTACCATTTTAAAGCAATTTGGAAGCTTACCAGTGCCTCAATCACAATAATAAAATAAATTTTAAATACTTATAAATTTTGGTATTTGATATTGGGTTTTTATAATGGAAAATCAGAGTTCCCCCTGCCCCTTAGCTCGAAGAATGCAGGTCCAGGCCCCTGACTCCCAAGCCATAGCCCTCCCAGGCCTAGCCTAACCAGGTATCTGGGTTTTCTGTTTCCCACAGGAAAACAGAGAAAAATGCAGATTTTCCCCTTCACCCAGGGGAAATACGGATTTTTCATTTTAATGGAAAAACGCATTTTGCGCTCTTGCAAAGAGCTCTCTTCAAGCTAGCACAGTTCCAGCCTGCAAGGGGCTGACGGGGAGCAGGGTGGTCAAGGCAAGGATACTATGTGCATGCACATGGCCACCAGGCAGCTTGGAAAGCAGCTCCTGCAGGTAAGTCTTTGGGTGGGGGGGAGGGACTGAGTTGGGCAGGGCTGGGGCTGCTGCCCAGCTGGGCTGGGGTCTGGGGCTTGGGGACTGGAATGTACAGCCGCAGGACCTGGGCAGGAGTGGGACAGGGGATAGGGGTGTGTAGCAGCAGTGCAGGATTGTGCCCTTCACTGCTGCCATGTGGGCAGGGGATGCCTCATCAGGGTAGCATGGAGTTTGCAGCAGCAAGGAGCTTTCCCGCGTAGCCCTGCTCTGCCAGGCCTCCCTGGCTGAGCTACAGAGGCCCCAGGGGAGGGCAACAGGGCAAGCAGCCCAACCCTGCTCTGCCCACAAATCTGGGGGGGCACAGGTCTCTCCTGCCACTCCTGGGAGTGTGTGCAGCAGCAAGAAGCCAGCTCCATCCCCTGCCCACGCCCTCAGCAGGCAAGCAGCAAGCGTGAGGGGGAGCCAGGATCCATGGTCTGCTCCACTGCAGTAGCAGCCATAGGTGGCAGCCAGGGCTTAGGGGCTGCTGTGGAGGGAAGCCTGCCCCTGCCCCACAAACAGGTCGCCCCAGCCCCCCTGGAATCTTCATGGCAGTGGGGAGCCAGCCCCATGCCCCGCCCCATGGACAAGCCCCTTCCCACTCCCCACCCGGGCCCTGCAGCCACACACTCCAGCCCTGGGTGCCAAGCGCCACGCACTCCCTAGCCCCAGCCCTGCCCAAGTCCCTCCCTATGGGGGCCTCAATCCACCAACCCTCTCAAGACTTTCCTGCAGGAGCTGCTCTCCAGGCTACCTGGTGGCCATGTGCATGAACATGCACATGGTGCCCCTGCCTAACCGCCCTCTTCCTGCTCCCTCCAGCCCCTGGCAGGCTGGAACTCTGCCACCTGCAGAGAGCTCTTTGCAAAAGTGCACGATCCACAGATTTTTCCACTAAAATAAAAAAAATCTGTTTTCCTTGGGTAAAGGGAAAATCCACACTTTTCTCCATTTTACGCCTGGGAAACAGAAAACCTGGATCACTGCTAATAATTCATGACTATACAAGTGCTTTTAATAAAAACCCATCTATTTAATATGTGAGCATAGGAGGTGAGAATGCTTACTGTTCTACCCAATTTGATTGAAAAATTAGGTTTGTTTGGGTTTTTTTACATATTCACACTTGAGCAACTTTTTGTACTACCATAGTTGTAGAGCAATGATAACAGGCTCCACTAGGGAATTCCACGCTGCCTTTAGCTGAAGGGAGATTGCAAAGTGGAGTGTTTGGAGCCTCACTTGCAGAAATTAAGGCACCTTCAGAGTAAGGCACAGATTTTGCAGATTTAAATTTTGGATCTGGACATTTGAAGTGGCAAATCAGCACCTAAGGCCCCTCCTCAATACAGCCTGAAAATGGCCAGCTTTTGAGGTCAGAAAGTTCCCACCTATAATTGCTCAGCTGCAGTTGTTATCAACTCCAATGTAATCCAACACAAAATATATAAAGTGACAGGATGCAGTCTGTAAGCGCTGTGAGCAGGACATTTATTCCTATTCCAAAAACATTTTCACAACTGTATTTGTAGCAATACAAAATTATATTCTTTTTTCTAACTAGAAGTATGCCATAAATTGAGGCCAGATTCACTGAAGGTGCAATAAGGCAAACACATGACACTTCCACAAAGAAGTATAATTTACATGCAGTGAGTGGGAAGGATGGGTTTATGGCCAAACAAGAAACCAAAATGACTTCCACGTTCATTTCCCATTAAAGCAGACTCTCCCTCCCCCTGCACATAGATTCACACATTTCAGCAATGTATAGTAACGTTACCATCTACATAACTTGTGCTTGGGCTATTTATCTCTGTTATTGACTAGTTATCCAGATTTGCCAAATTTCAAAATTTCTTGCTGATTTTTGACCTATAACTATGGGACCATTTTAAATAAAGTATAACTTTGGTCATGGTGATATGTACATTAGTACAAAAATTAATGTCCAGGCATTTTAAAGAAAACTTTTACATAGAGTCAATGCATGGTATTAATGATAGAAAAACAAATGTGTGCACGAGCTCATTATTTAGACATTTCTACTTGATTATAACTGTTGACTAGAAAATGATGTAGCTCTAGTAGCTGCAATTTAGGCTTAAAAGTAGGCACTGCTGGATACAGTAGTGTATAATTAATGTATATTAATAATCACTGTATATTAGATGTAATTATAACCTGCATGGTAGGGAAAAAACACAAAAAAAAATTGTCCTAACACATAGTGTATCACTTTTAATATTAAAAACCCTTGTTCTATAAAGCCAAAAATGGCCTATATAATTTAAGTAACAAGAGGTCTGAATCTCCCTTTTAAGCACGCACAAACTGCCACTGACCAACAGGGGATTTGTGTATGCTAAGGAAAGAGACCCATGTATATAGCGCAGAGCTTTAAATAGCATTTTTCACTATGCATGATATATCATTTTTAACTAACTCAGCTGTCAAAATGCACAGGGTATGTCATTAAATAGCCATTCTCCCATGTATACAAGTCTTGGTTTCTGAGACTGTATGAAAGCATAGCAAGACCAGATTGTGAAGATCGTAATTCAAAGCTTGCATCAATCTGCTTCTCTTTCAACAAATCAAAAGCAAAAGTTACTCTCATATCCTTAGTATCAGTAACATACAGCACTCCACATGCTATGAACGCATTGCCAGCTTTGGACTTGGGGTACGTAGTGTTGACATGCCGAACGGCTGAGAACTTCTCTTCATCGATATGTGCAACATTGATATTTTCATCAATTCTTGAGGCATAGATGATCCAAAGACCCTTTTCATCCACTGCTATATTGAAATAGGTCTTGGAGTTAGAAAAGAGGTAGTTGCGACCATGATGCAAAGCATTTTCAATTTTCAGTGTTTTGAACAATCCTGTATCAAGCTCAAATCTGAAATGAAACCATAAATATTTAGCCTTCTATTTATACCTGGTGGCTGGTTATATTAGTTGCAAGTGGGCAGCTATTAGTGGGAATCTTGGTCAAGGGGAATGAATGAGTGACAGTCCCTGAGATATGCCCCAGGAGCAATTCCACACACTCACAACACCTTCCAAGCTAGAAGGAGCAAAGAAAATAGCCAGAAACACCATCATAACAGACAAAACCCACATTGTGTGACAACATGGAAGATTATGAAAGGATTTGTTCTAGCCTACAAAATCTTTTCCTTTTATCTAAATGAAAGAAATCAGCTCGGGAGAGGAAGAAGAGGTTTGCAGGAGAAATGTAATGGTCCCTCAAGTTAATTGCAAATGATGCTGGGAGAAGCCACAAACTGATAATAGGAAACCGTATGCAGGAATCAGTTTTCTGCTGAGGAGGAACTGAAGCAAGAAAATGTTATAGAGTTAAGCAGACTATCTGGGCTGGCCACCAGCCTTGCAACTCCCCCCTACTTAAACAGAATGATTTTTGGAAAAGCTCTTGATCAACAAAGCACATCAAAGGAATAAAACCTCTTCTTTTAAAGACCAGACTTGCAGCCAACATTCTGACCCAACTCCAGCCTCTGTCAAGGCAGCCTGACTGTCTCATTTCTGAAGCACTGAACTGTTTTTATTCCTTGAAATTCCTTGATGATAAAATGATAATCTGCAAACAGTGCTCAGCAACTTGCTTAGAGCTCCTCTAATCCAAAAGGGTAATGAACTTTTACTCAGACACATTTTCACCTTGTATTTAACCACTGAATGATAGCGTTTTTGGCAAGCACAATGTGTGTTTTATTCCTCTGATTAATAAGTTTGATACCAGGAATATGTTTGATAGTCTGACTTATACCTAACAATACTGCCCACATCATTTCTCCAAGTATGCAGGTAGCTGCAACATCCAACACAAGAACCTAGAATGACTCCAAGTCCTACAACAAAGGAAGATGGGATGATTCCCCTTTGCTTCTAAGGGAGGCCATGCTGATCTGGGCGAGAGGTGCACTGCTCTCCCAGGGCATCTTTACACAGGCTCTGGAGGTGGGGGATGGAGGAGGGGGTTAATTAGTGCAGCTCTCAGGAGCCGCTCTATTAAAGTTCCTGCAGCGTCTCTCGTATTCAGATTCACATGCTTCAAAATGGTAGCAGGGGCACTTTAACTAAAACTCATAAAACGAGCTTTAGTTAAAGCACCCCCACTGCCATTCTGAAGCATGGGATGCTGAATACATGAGACACTGAGGCTGCTGGAGCCAATTAGCATGAATTGGAGCAGGCATTGGGCATATGTATAGGTGCCCCCAATGTGAGAGCTTCCTGTGAAACTGCTCCATGGGTGAAGGGCCTCTGGGAAATGCACACACTAATGATCATCCATCATCAACTTACTTCTCTCTGTTCCTAAAAACAGGCCATGCTGATCTCCTTGCCTAGGTGAACATGAAGTCCACTTCAGGGAAGCACAACTTCTGCAGGAGCTATACATCCATACAGAGCTGGAGGACACAAACTCTACAGAGGCAGACCTACAAAAGGCCTGCATATGGAGACTGCCTGTTTCTGCTTCTTTCCCACCCCACAAACACAACACGATGATGTGGAAACTGAACAAAACTTGGGACATCCCTCTCCGTTATGTGGAGTTTCCCCTTGTAGGGGATTATCTAATCTAGCCAAGCAATATCAAGTATAACTGGAATAGTTCCTAAAACCTTTCCACTTTGGGATCCATAGCATGATACGCTGCAGCATTTAATCAGCCTGATATGAGAGCAATCTGCAAATATTCTCTTCAATTAAGCACAAAAGAGAAATAAAGCATTCCCAGTGTAGGCAGTGTGATCCTGGGAGAGAATTGCCAGAGGTAAACAGCCAAACTCAGATTTGTTGCAAAACCTTCATCCTTCACAAATGTGCATCACCAAAACAATATTCACATTATGAACAAAACATCTGAGCCTACTCCCCAGCTCTTTACTTGAAACAAGTGTAAAACCTCCCCTTAGGAGAGCTTATTCCAACTGAAACTGGAGAAAAGCATGAGAATTCATGAAGTCTGTCCCCACTGATCACACTCTCCTCTGCACTGAAGAAGGAAAATTTCTTAGAGAGATTAAATGATATCTGAAAAGGTAAGTTTAGAACAGAAAGCTTTAGCACTAGGCTCCATATCATATTACACTGCTTAGAGAAGTATGTTTGATTCTTGTAACAGGATCTGATGGAATTTAAGTGCAAGTATCTCTGGCAGAAGAAACAATGTGTGATCCCCATAACCTATTTTCATTCTTTGGCACCCAAGTAGATTTAGTAAGAAGAGACTATAATCTGCCTGGAAAGAAGTAACAAAGCCTGGTGATGTTTTTGGCTCTGACACTAGACTCAAATAAAAAGCAGGTGCAAACTAACCCTTCACCTGTGTGTTTGGTTCTTCCCACATACTTGGGTTATACTTTTGATTTGCACTGGCTGCCTGCTTGCCTCAATAAAAGCTGAAAAGATAAACATGATCTCCACAAGCCTCACCAGGTTCAGATGTGGTGGAAAAACCCCAGAACTTGCTAATGACATGCATTGAGATAATGAAGCCAGCACTCCTCAAGGACGTCTGCCAGCTCATGCAGTCACTCTGCATTCATTTGATGCCTTACTTTATCCATTGTAGTTTATGCACAGCAAGAGGAAAAACACCAAGAGGAAAGCCACTAAAATCCTCAAATGTACTGAAGTCCTTAGTTTCCACTTCTGACTTCACTGCAAGAGTCCAAACTGCAGGTTTGAGGACTATACTATTCAGAACAGTACAGGTCATAGGACAAAAGCCTGTTAACAACTGAGTTTCTAGTTACATATCACGAATTCCACCTCTGCACGTGACATCATCAGTCTTGCAGCCCAGGTGCTCTAAACATCACCATTATTAGATGAGGGAGGGACCCAAAAGGTCTGTAGCTTAAAACTTTGTAAAAAATTGTGCAATGCAACTTCACGCCAAGAAAAGAGGTGCCTAAAATAATTCCTTAAACCTCTCCCACCCCCACAAGATCAGGAGGAACTAAACATCTGGACTACAGATTAAGATTTCAGCCCTGGGTTTTTGTGACCTATTTCTAGTACCAGATACCAAGTTAGATATCACTGACCATTCCTCTCATTTTTGCCCACAATAACCCCAAAGGAAACATAAAACATTACATAAACTATTGCTGCTTTGCCACCTGAAGTTAATCTCCACCATGCTAACCTATATACATGCTTTTCCTCTAATAATATCTTATGGCTATGGGGAATGCCACACCTCCACCAGGTTAAGATGGACTTACTTCACAATGAGATTGGTTCCTCCTCTTTGGTAGTACAGACACTGGTTATATATCGCATGGCCACATCCATAAAAGATCCCCGTGAGGTTAATCATCTTGTAGCTGTCATTCAGCAGTGCATTTGAATTTTCATATTCTTTTATAAAGTTTCCTAAGGGAAGGGAAGAAAAGTCCTCTGGTTGGTTTATTTATCTGCCCCATCTACCCTGCTTCAACTAAAATCGTGACAATCAAGTTCCCGACTCGTATTAAAAATTATAGCCATGCTTTCAACATGCCTCAGAGCTAGAACACGCATGAAACAAAATCCAAATCCTTAAAACTGATTTAGGTGCTTAAATTCCATTGTTCTCAGTGGGAGGTAGGTGCCTAAACACTGTTAAATCCAAATCAAGATTTGTTGTACAATGTGTATACTGCAGGAAGACTGATACCATTCAACTGGAGATTGGAAATGGATTCTACATTAAATACACCTCACTCAGAACCTAGGCCATTCCCATGCTTTTTCCTTTCTCTCGTGCTGTTTTGCTTAACCACAGCAACCTCAGTTTAGGAAACTAAGTCAAGGGGGAAAATGATACCAAAAAAAAAAAAAAAAAAAAACCTAAGCAAGTAACCAGGAATCCCACCAACTAGGACTAAGAAAAATTTTCCTACTTTTTTCCTGGGTTTTCAACTAAAATTGTTTTTTTCTTTCTGCAAAAATGTCTACTTTACACTTGTTTTTGTTTTTTAAAAGTGTTGTCCATGAATAAATGCACAATTAACAACTTTTTAGCTGATGGAACACGTAAAATTTCCTTGGAGAGAATTTTTCCAGCCAGCACCAGCTAAAACTCTCCTTAGGAAACCAAGATGCATGTCCAGCTATATTCTGAGAGCAAATGATTGTTTTTAAATATATGCTTGATATGTGGGTTTAAAAAGTGACCTCCACATTGCAATCACATCTTTGGCATTTCTCCATGTGGGACAACAGCCTTTCCCACAAAAGTGCATCTTCAGTCAATTTTACATAGGATATTTCTAAAGTACATGGATGTGACTAAAAGAGTAAAAGGGAACAAACACAGGACAAAATTATTAATCCACTTGATCCCTGCAGTTGTATTTGCCGTACCCAAAAAATGCATTGTGAGCCAAATTCTTTCATCACTTGTGTTTGCAGGCTCCTGCATCCAAGTTCCAAATGTTTGCTGTATCTTAGCCATCTGAACGGGGCTTCCTATTGACTTGATGATACATTCTAAAAGAGAAAGACAGATTGGCCTTATCCTTGACCTAAATTGGTTAATAATAGCTATTTAATGCATCATATTTAAAATGGGTTACCAGCTTTTCTGGGATGGTGGTCACTGGCTTTCTCATCCACTTTTCCCACCAATGTATCATCGTTTGGTACAGCACAAGTTTCACCTAAAATTGGGGGACAAAAAAATTAAGTACTGACCGTCTGGCCTTCTGGGGTACACTTGTGCTTCTTGTTATTTGACAAAAGCAAAAACTTTGCCTTTTCTTCCTGCCTTGCCTCTTTCATCCTAACATCTAAGGTAGGCAGTTAGGGACAGAAAGCTGTGACGCTGCTCTTGGTAGACTTCCTGTAGCACAAGGCCTGTAGCACAAAAGTAGGCTCTAAACCACGGGTGGGCCAGATTTGGCCCGTGGGCCAGATCTGGCCTGTGGAGGGGCTTTGTCTGGACCACGGTGGGTCCCTCAGTCCTGTCTGGCCCGGGCATCGTCCCACAGTGGCACATCCACAGTGGCACACAGCGGGGTTGGGGCCTTTCTAGGCAACCCAGGAGGCAGCAGCTGCTGGACCCAGTCCAGTGGTACTGATAGGGACCTATGCACAGTCTTGACCTGCCCCACACCTGCTGCAGACTCACCCGCTCACACTGAACAGCTGCAGCAACACCAGCGCCAGTGCAGCAGCATATGCTTGGCATAGGGGAAAAGCAGCCTCTTCCCCTCACCACTGCCCAGTGCTTCCTGCAGCAGCCATGCGGAGCCTGCACTGAGCTGCCCTGTGCTGTCACCCCCACCTCCAGGCCACCCTGTGCGGCAGTGGGGGCAGTGCAGAGGAGCCGCAAGGCAGCCCAGCAGGCTCCGCAGGGCTGCTACAGGAAGCACTGGGCAGCAGTGAGGGCGACGGGCTGCTTTTCCCCCACATTGAGCATGCACTACCCTACCAGCCCCACTGCTGCTGCAGCTGTTCAGCATGAGCAGCTGGGTCTGCAGCAGGTGCCGGGCAGGTCAGTGCTGCACATGGGTCCCCGCCAGAATTGCAGGGCTAGGGCCAGCAACTGCTGCCGCCTCAGCTACCTAGAAAGGCAGTCCAGCGCAGAGCTGCTCCAGCCCCACTGTGTGCCCAGGGGCAGCAGGGTACACCACAGGTGGGCAGTGCAGAGCAGGGGTGGGAGCCAAGTCAGGGCTATGCATACATCTGCCTGATCCACTCCTGCTGGGGTCAGTCCGGAGCAGGTGTGGGGCATGTTGGGGCTGTGCTGCTGGCGGTGGGCTGTTGTGGGGCGGGGCCAGGTGCTGACTCACTATGGGGTGCACAGGGGGGCTCTCATGCACACCCCACCATACCCACAAACCCTCATCTGCAAACCCACAAACACACTCTCCCCCACCTGCACCCCCCATACCGACCCACACATCCCCAAACACCCCCCCACAAACCCTCCATACCCACCCACATCCACATATACCACCAAACCCTCCCCCACACTCAACATACACCCACAGCCCCACACAAACCCCATACTCACCAACCCACCCATACACATACCCCTGTCCCCCCGCAATGTACAAGAGTAAGACTTCATTTTGAGCTATTATGAAATCACCTCTATATACACAATGCAAACACACACAAACCAGGACAAAAAAAAAGTCTTTTTTTAAATAAAATTAAAATATGTTATTGTGGATGTTAGGTTTTTAGGAGATAATTTTTTTTTTCTGGTTCCAAGATGGCAAACCCGCTTCTGAAAAAGAAGTACTTCTGGGCCAAGGGCAGGGACTTCCGATGACAAAGATTAGGGGGAGGGACTTCCAGTACCAAGATGGCTACCAGGGGGCGGGGCACCTGTCAAGAGGCAGAGCTACCCTGTGGCCCGCAGTAGCTCACCAAAACTCATGAAGTGGCCCTCCAGCTGAAATAGTTGCCCGCCCCTGCTCTAAACATTCACAGAGTGGTAGGCTAGAAAGCACAGTCAGTGGAGGTTTCAACTTCATACTATGCAGTTCAGCAGAGCTTCCACAGATGAAATGGATCACTGCTGTGGGTTGAACTCAGGAGCTCTTTTTTTGGTGTAAGTAGTCAAGGGGCATGGGCTTGAGGACAGCCATATGTTCAGCTATCGGTGGACAGAGCTATAGCTTCTTTTTTCAGGTAGGTGACATTGCATGTGTGCTTGCAAAATACTTTGGATATATACACTTCTGAGCCACTATCTACTTATTTGTATTTAAACCTCTCTTCTAGTCTAACAGTCCCCATGTGGTGACAAAGTAGAGATTCTACAGACAGAAAGGGAACTGGAAATGGGAAAGATGTTTGCTCTCAACACCCTTCCCCCTCCACTGATGACACAAGGATTTCAGGATGTGGGTTTTTTTTCTCCCCTTCTAACTGGCAACCTCCCACTCAGGTTTTTCAGTCCAGTTTGACAAATCATTTTGCTAAGCAGAGTCTAACTGCTCAAGAGTAGCATAGGGAGCCTGTGCATTACCTAATCATAAAGGAAATAAGTAATGTGCAAGTACAAAAAATACATGAGTAAGATATCAGGAAACTATCCAACTTGCCATTTAGTGTCACCAAAAATGTTTGGTTTAGAATTTAATTAAGGCTATTAAAGAGACTCCAAACCACATGTAAAACTTCTATGACCCCAAGACGGGGTGTCCTTCATAGGCAAGAAGAACGGTCTTATCCCTGCCTTTAGTGCCAAGCATGTATTCATGCATAATTTTCCTGTGGTTTAATGCTGTTGGAACCCATGTCTTTCTTATGTTGCTTTTTCCTTTCTAACCGTAAACAGGAGGAGAAAGGGTATTTATACATCATATCCTTCCAATAAACTCTGAAAAGCAGTTCACTGAAAGAAAACACATACCATGAAAAAGGCTGGGAATTACTTTTCCAAAGACTTGGAAGTATTTTGTGGAGGATTTTTCAAATTGTTTACATTCTTTTATAAGGGCTCCAGGACTCTTCAGATTCCTCCCCAAAGCCACAGAAACTTTTTCAGTAGAAATTTACGGTTTTGGTAAACAGTTCTCAATAAACAGTTTCCAGTTCTGTTTTACTTCAGATTGCTGGAAGAAACCTGATTCCACTGCAGTGCTGTTCACTCACCCTCTCCACCCCACTTCACTGTTTCATCCACCTGCATCATCCTAGCTGACAGTCATGTACAAGCTCTTCTGAGTAGATATGTTTTTTTTCTTTATCCCTATACCACCTAGTACAATGGAGACATGTTCCCTGATTAAAGGATCCAGGACACTACTGCAATACAAACATAATTGACTGAGGTTCTTGAACTACAGCTGAAGGGGTACCTTAACACTCAGGAAAGAAGGAATAGATTGTACAGTCTTTTGCTCCTGCTGTCCCTTTCCCTGCCTCCTCTGACATGACTTTCTTATCTCTTAACTCATCCAACATTAACACAGACCAACTGTATTCCAAAATGAAGACAATGAAATGATATTTCACCTCATCCATTAAAATGGTGGGCACAAAAAATTTGTTCTAGGGGGATCTTATCTCAGTTGTGTACCCTTCAGCACTCATAAAAGTTACCTCCAACAGAAGCCCAACTGGACAATCCAAATGTGATTTGGCAGATAAGGGTGCCCAACCAGCTTCTAAGAATCTTTAAATGTCCCTTTAGTCTCAAAGGCTAGGGACAGACATTCAAAAAGCCTGAGCCTGAATTCTTTCAATCTTTGCAGTTTAGTCCAACCTGTACAGATTGAACCGATCTGCAAGTGGCTAGACATTCACTTTTGATTCAGGAAATGCAGGCACATCCCTGCAGTGGCTCAGGCCAGAAGCCAGGGGGCACTACAGTGAGCCCACCCTTCCACAGTACTAATCTGAGAGGAGGGTGTGGCCAGGTCCCAGCACAATGCTTTGCTTAGAGAAGGATTTAAAATCTCACCCTGGCCTGCACAGTCCTCAGCCAGGGTGTGCCTGGAGGGGGAGGGGGAAGGGGAAGCAAGCCCTCACCCGGCTTTTCCGCCACTTGCAGCTCAAGGGGCAAGGAGTGTTGCCAGACCCCAGCCGTGGTTAGGACTCTGAGGCAAAGGGTGGAGGAGGGAGGGGAAGGTGAAACTGCTTGTGTGGACTGTATGCATTTGTATTACCCTGCTAGCTAGTGCTTCGTATTTGCCTAAATCTCAGACTGATAGCACTGACCGGTCCCATTCACTGCAAACTAGGTCATTTCTCACACCTCTCTCTGTCCCCTGTTGAACATTGACAGATTTTGGGATGGGGAAACTACGCTCTAACCAGGCTCAATAACTGATGCGTAGAGGCAATCACCAACATTATTAATCACTGCAGAGTGAAACTTCCTTTGATATAAGGGTTTCAGGGTGTGAGATGCCCCTGGCTTTGAAACAAGCCAGCAGCCAGCAGAGAGCTTATCATAACACAAAGCTTATTAGCCCATCAAGAAAACAAAAGCCTCTCCCTCATTAGTTCAAGTTCTTCTTACCGCACGGTACAGACATTTTGCAAAGCATTTGCAAGCCACTGGCTTGCTCAGGAAAAAAAAAACTTTAAACAGATACTGTTCTGTCTGCCTTTGTTCCAGTGAAATTGGAGACACACACACACAGACACCTGTCAGCTTTAGCGAACATGGGGGTAACCATGCCGCTGGGGTCCATGTGTGAGAGGTGAGGGTGGGAGTAGGATCCCTGCTTGAGCAGTGAGTGGTGAGGGGAGGGCAAGGCAGGGGCAAGCCTGGTAAATGCTGCTGTGTCCCTGCCAGGCAGACCTCGGCTGCAGTCCCCCACCCCCTTCTCAGCCAGCTGGAGCTCTGAGCAGACAGCCCAGCCTGGCCCAGGGATGAAAAGCATATTGGGATGCTGGGGGACTGTGATTTAACTAAAATCAGGAAGGGGTCTGGGACAGAAGTTCCATAAACTAGTTTAACCCAAATCAGTTAAGTCTGGGTATGTGTGCAAGACACTTTAAAGTGGGTTAAATGCTTTTGCACCACTTTAATGAAGTAGGTGTTTGCACACACTGGTGGCGTATTGCACATTAATTCTAGCCACTGTACCACATTCAGCAGCACAATGCGTCTTAATTGACTTTTGGGCACAGCAAACTAATACTCCAAGGAGTTTTAGTTTGCTGCCCTACAGCCACAGAGCAAAGCACC